ACATAGCACACAGGAAATTCTGTCCCCTGAGCCTTATGTAAATGTAATCATGAAAGCTAGGGCTTTCTCTCCATTTCTAAGAAATGTCCTTTTTGGGACATTCTTGATTTTTCATCTGAACTCCAAGTGACCTGGAGATTTACTGATGTGGCATCAGTCAAGGGACAGCAAGGAGGGGTGGTGGACACAAGTGAACCTGAGTCAAAACCCGCAGTGTCTGTGGGAACACGGGACGGAGCTGGTGCTTGTGGGATCCTGTCACTGTGCACCCTCCAAAAGTCCACTTTGGCAACTACAGCCCATCAGTGAATATGAAGAAAATAGAGTAGGTACTAAATCCCCAGATGTAAAGCAGTGAGACCAGTGTTTAGAATGCAATAGGTGCCCATCAAATCTCCCTGATGTGAATTTTTCCCCCTAAGAAATATGTTCTTGGGGGCTAGGAAGGTGGCTCAGTGGTAGAGCGCTTGCCTTGCATCCCTGAGGCCCTGGGTTCGATTCCTCAGCACCACATAAGCAAAAAAAAAAAAAAAAGCCAGAAGTGGCGCTGTGGCTGAAGTGGTAGAGCGCTAGCCTTGAGCTGAAGAGCTGAGGGACAGCGCCAAGGCCCAGAGTTCAGGCCCACAACCGGACCCAAAAGAAGAAAAAGGAAAAAAAAAAGAAATACGTTTTTGTTGTTGTTGTTGTTGTTTGTCGGTCTTTGGGCTTGAACTCTGGGCCTGGGCGCTGTCCCTCAGCTCTTCAGCTCAAGGTGAGCGCTCTACCACTTGAGCTACAGTGCCACTTCCGGTTTTCTGGTGGTTTATTGGAGATAAGAGTCTCACGGTCTCTCCTGCCCGGGCTGGCTTTGAACCGCGATCCTCATATCTCAGCCTCCTGAGTAGCTAGGATTACAGGTGTGAGCCACGGGCACCGGCTTCCCCTAAGGAATACATTAAGAGCTTTCTAAAGATAATTAGGCCTCACCAGGCACTGGTGGCTCACACCTGTAATCCTCAGGTATGGCTGAGATCTAAGGATCATGGTTCAAAGCCAGCCCAGGCAGAAAAGTCTGTGAGTCTCTAATCTCTAATAAACTACTCCGAAAAAGCCAGAAGTGGAGCTGTGGCTCAAGTAGTAGAGCACTAACCTTGAGCAGAGAGGTTCAGGGACAGTGCCCAAGACTTGAGTTCAAGCCCCAGGACCAGCAAATAATGATGATGATGATGATGATACTACTACTAATAATAAAATGCCTCTCTGGGTACCTATAATCCTAGCTTCTCAGGAAGCTGAGATGTGAGGCTCATGGTTCAAAGCAGCTTGGGCAGGAAGGTCCATGAGACTCTTATCTCCAATTAACCACCAAATAGCCAGAAGTGGAGCTGTCACTCAAGTGGTAGAATGCCAGCCTTGAGTAAGAAAGCTCAGGGATAGTGCCCAGGCCTGGAGTTCAACCCCAGTACCCAGATAAAAAATAAAAGAAAGAAAGAAAGATGCGGGGCTGGGAAGGGGGCTCAGTGGTAGAGTGCTTGCCTTGCATGCGTGAGGCCCTGGGTTTGATTCCTCAGCACCACATAAGCAGAAAAAGCCAGAAGTGGTGCTGTGGCTCAAGTGGTAGAGCGCTCGCCTTGAGCTGAGGAGCTGAGGGACAGCGCCCAGGCCCAGAGTTCAGGCCCCAGGAGGAAAACAATAAAAAAACTGCTGGAGGAATTCCCAGTGAGGTCTGTCCCCCGCCTGGTGTGGCTTCGGCACTGTCTAGTCACACATGGAAACCATCCCATCCTCACCCCCATCCTTACCTCTTGAGGCACTGCAGTGTCTTTGTTCAGGGTCCCGGAACTCACTGTCACGTTGACTGCAGAGCTGGGCCAGGTGATCCGGTGCCCCTCAGCTTCATCAGGATGGGTGGCTTTCAGAATGAGGTGTGGAAGCCCCCAGAACTGCTCTGACACAGCCCAGGGCACTGAAGCTATAAGGAAGTGTGCTCAGCAGGGAGACCAAAGGGACCGTCTCCTTGTGTCCCAGCTGCCCCCTAGGCAGGCTGGATATCATGCTGGCCAAGGCAAGCTCCCCTTGTGGAGGAGATGCTTTCTGAGCTTCCCTGGGGAGCCAGCAGCCCCTTTTGGAGGGGGGGGGGGTGAAGCCCCAGCCCTGGGGCATGCAAATAGAGGGCAGTGCCACACACAAGGCATATGGCAGCGGCCCTGGGCTTGTCCTGTTAGGAAAGACAGGAAGTTCTTGACAACAGGGCCTATGGGCCTTCTCCTCCCAGGCTGCCCAGCTACAGGGGGGTTTGTTATTTGTTTGTTTTCTTTTCTTTTCTTTTCTGGTTAGAGTACTGAGACTTGAACTCAGGGCCTAGAACTCTTCTTGGTTTTTTTTTGCTGAAGGCTGGCGCTCTATCACTTGAGCCACAGCTCTATTTCCAGCTTTTTTTTTTTTTACTGGTTAATTGGAAATAAGAGTCTCTTGGATTTGTCTGCCCAGGCTGGCTTCAGCCTGGCCTCCTCAGAGTTCAGTCTCCTGAATAGCAAGGATTAGAGGCATGGGCCACTGGGATGCCTGGCCAAGCTGCAGTTTAGATGCTTTTCTTTGCCACAAGAAGAAAACATCTCTCAGGTGGGAGGGAGGTCTGTCTGCACCCCATTGTGAGTCCTGGGTCATTTCTGGCACCACCTGGAGACAGCTACCGTCATCAGCACTATTTTGCAACTCGGTGTGGGGTGTGTGTGTGTGTGTGTGTGTGTGTGTGTGTGTGTGTGTGTGTGTCTGTGCGCGCGCACACACGTGTGCATGTGTTAAATTATAAGCATCATGCTATCAACAGCCTCTCTCCCTCGGCCCCCCATTAGCTCACAGCTGTCCATTTCTGTACCACAACTCTGGCACTATTTATTTCCGGTGTAGACATGTAAATTATTCCGTAGCTCCTACTCTCAGTGATGCCAAACAACTCTTGGGTTGCAGGAGTGGCCATCAGGCTGTACATGTTAATTAGCTCTGCCATGTTGTTCCCCAAATGGTGTCACCCACCCTCTCCTCTAAGTTCATGTGTCTGAAGATCATCCCAGTGCTTGGTAGGATCAAACTCTAAACTCTGCCAACTTGATGAGTCAACGTTTACTGGTTTAAATCTGTTCAATTTGTATTTGTTTCCCCTGGGTCTGTGAGTGTGAGTAGCTCCTTATACTTGCAAAGTAGGTACTCCTACCACTGAGCCATACCTCCAGACTTGTGTGTGTGTGTGTGTGTGTGTGTGTGTGTGTGTGTGTGCGCGCGCGCGCATGCATGTGCGTGTGCATGCACACATGCCAGTCCTGAGACTTGATCTCAGGGCTTGGGCTCTGTCCCTGAGCTTTCATGCTCAAGGCTAGCGTTCTTCCACTTGAGCCACAGCTCTACTTCCATCTTTGTTTGGTAATTTATTTGAGATAAGAGAGTCTCATAGACTTTTCTGCCCAGGCTAGCTTTAAACAGTGATCCTCCTATCTCAGCCTCCCGAGTAGCTAGAATTATAGGCATGAGCCACCAGAGCCAGCTATTCCAGACCTTTCTATTTGTATGTGTACGTACTTACTGGTTATTTTGGAAATAGGATCTCTCTCTCCTTGCCTGGATTCACACCTGTTCTGTGATCCACTTATTCTAGTCTTCCACTTGTAGCTAGGATAACAGGCATGAGCCACTGTGTTCCACTATGTTTAAAAAGGCAGTTCCTTGAACTTGTCTTCTCCAGGCTGGCCTCAAACTTTGATCCTCTTAATCTCAGCCTCCCAAGTAGCTAGGATCTTAGGCTTGTGAATGCACTTAAAAACTCTTGTCGTTTTCTTTTCTTTCTCCCCCCGCCCACCTTTTTTTTGTAGTATCAAGATCAACCCCAGGGCCTTGAACAAGTACCGTACCTTACACATTTTTTTTTTGCCAGTCCTGGGGCTTGAACTCAGGGCCTGAGCACTGTCCCTGAGCTTCTTTTGCTCAAGGCTAGCACTCTACCACTTGAGCCACAGTGCCACTTCCAGCTTTTTCTGTTTATGTGTGACTGAGGAATGGAACCCAGTGCTTCATGCATGCTAGGCCAGCACTCTACCACTGAGCCACATTTCCAGCTATACACATCATCATTAATTAGTCACACTATTATACAACGGAAGGCCAGGACTTATTCCTCCTGTGTAACTGTAACCGGGTGCCTGCTGACCATCCCCTCTCCATCGTCCCCCCTTCTCCTCCCTCCCCACTCCCCCCAGCCTCTGATGACCACTGTTCTCTCACCCTGGGCATGATCAACCTTCTTAGCTTCCACACACAGAGAGAACATGGGGTTTCTCCTACTTAATGTGCTCTAATTCATCCATGTTGGTGCTAATGACAGGATTTCTTTCTTTTCTCTTGTTTTTTTAAGGGTGAATGGCATTCCACTGCATGCATATGCCACATTTTGTGCATCCCTTCATCCAGGGACAGGCACGGAAGTAGATTCTGTATGAAGGCCGCCATGCACAGTGCTGCAACGAGTCTAGTATCGGGGCTTCCTCAACCTGGGAGAGACCTGAGGAGATATAAAGTTACCACACAGGATAATTAGGGTTGGAAGATCATTCATTTTGCATCTAGTGGACTGAGGACCAATCAGGGAGGGCTTCCTGGAGGAGGTGACACTCCATCCAAGCCATGCAATGGAAGAAGATAAATCTGTCCAGGAGAAGCAATGGACCTGAGCCTGCTTAGAGGCCAGGGCCCCCTCAAGGAGGTCAGATAAAGGCTGGGAATACAGAAGTCAAGTCTGGGTGAAGGTCTCAGCCATTGGTCAGGCCAGGTCCCCACTGCCCTGGGCCACCAGTAGACAGCCCACAATAGGACCCAAGAGCTTCACCGAGTGTGCCCACCTTGGCTTCCCGGGGTGCCTTGCGCAGGCACAGGGCAACTGATTTGCATCTCCAGGTTGAGGGGGGAAACCCAGGAAGCTTGGCCCCGGGGAACTAATCAAATCTCAGGCTAATAATAAACACCCCAAGTAAGGCGCCGGCTGGGCCAGAGTTTGCGCAGCTACGGTGGGAGCCTGGCAGGTGACCAGCAGCGGTACAGCAGTGTGAGTAGCCGGGCAGGTGGGACGGTGGGAAAGGGTACAGCCTGCAGCCCCTACCCCCAAGGGGGGGTCCTCTGGGTGCTTGCAGCAGAGGCACAAACTTGGGGAGCCCCTAGCCCACAGCCCTGTATGTGGAGAGGGCCCCAGGCTGGACCTTTTGAGGGTACAGGACTGAACTTCCAGGAGAGGATCCCGAGACTGCAGGGTGGGCAGGGCAGGAATTGTTTTTCCTTTGGGTTGATATGGTTGCATCTCTCCCCTGCTATCCCTGCTGTATAAGGCTGGTGTTCTACCACTTGAGCCACACAGTTCTACTTCCAGATGTTTTCCCCTGTGGTCCTGGGGCTTGAATTCAGTACGTAGGTGCTGTCCCTGAGCTTTTGTGCTCAAGGTTAATGCTCTACCACTTTGAGCTTCAGCTTCATTTCCTGCCCTGGCTGGCTTTGGACCACAATCCTTAGAGCTCAGCCTCCTGAGTAGCTAGGATTACTGGTGTGAGCCAACAGCATCTGGCTACTTCCAGCTTTTGGGGGGGTTCATTGGAGATAAGAATCTCACGGACTTTCCCCACTGGGCTGGCTTCCAACCTCAATCCTTAGATCTCAGCCTCCTGAATAGCAAGGATCATAGGCGTGGGCCTGGCGTGAGCCAGGGTGGTTTTAAAAGTCTGAGCAAAGGCAAAGGCTATCTGGAAGGAAGGACCTGTTGCTTGGAGAAGATGGCTCTTGGTCCCCACCTTGTATAAGGACATGCCAACCCCTGTACGGGGTCAGTCTGGATTTGCAGGCCTCCTACCTCATTGGCCCCCACACCCCAGTCTTGGAGTGGGTCTTTTCTGTGATCTTCATCTGTGCCCGGGGACCGTACCCAGAAAGTGATCACATACATTTAGCTGCTTAGAGAGTTCAGCAGGGCAGGGGCTAGAGGCATTTGGGGCAGGTTGAGATTCTTTGGGGACCCAGGATCTGGGGTCAAAAGGCAGCCAGAATTGCAATCCTGTGCCCACAAAGTCTTCCTCGTGCTGGGGAATCTGAGAGACCAGAGAGAAAAGAGTTCTATTCTGACAAGTTTTAAAAATTGACTTGATTTTTTATTTATTTTATTTTTTTTGGGTCCGGTCATGGGGCTTGAACTCTGGGCCTGGGTGCTGTCCCTCAGCTCTTCAGCTCAAGGCTAGCACTCTACCACTTGAGCCATACCGCCCTTCCGGCTTTTTTCTTTTTGCTTATGTGGTGCTGAGGACTTGAACCCAGGGCCTCAGGCATGCAAGGCAAGCACCCTACCACTGAGCCACCTTCCCAGCCCCTTATGTTTATTTTTTTGCCAATCCTGGGGCTTGAAATCAGGTCCTGGGCATTGACCCTGAGCTTTTTCCCTCAAGGCTAGTCCTCTACCACTTGAGCCATAGCTCCACTTCCAGATTTTTTGGTAATTAATTGGAGATATGAGTCTCAATAGACTTTGCTATTTGGACTGGCGATCCTCAGATCTTAGTCTCTTAGTAACTAGGATTACAGGCTGGTAGCACCAGTGATCTGCTATTTCAATACTTTTATCTGTTATTTGTGTCAACTTAAAAAGGGGTATTTACAGGGCTGGGAAGTTGGCTCAGTGGTAGAGCGCTTGCCTTGCATGTTTGAGGCCCTGGGTTCGATTCCTCAGCACCACATAAGCAAAAAGAAAAAAGCCGGAAGTGGCGCTGTGGCTCAAGTGGTAGAGCGCTAGTCTTGAACTGAAGAGCTGAGGGACAGCGCCCAGGCCCAGAGTTCAGACCCCACAACCAGACCCAAAAAAAAAAAAAAAAAAAAGGAGTATTTACAGTTCTCATTAACAAATAAAAGCAAAGCCTGGTACTGGTGGCTTACATCTGTAATCTTAGTTACTTAGGAGGCTGAGCTGTGAAGGATCAGGTTTGAAGCAAGCCCATGTAGGAAAATCCATGATGGCTCCAGCCTTGAGCAAAAAGGCTAAGGGACAGCACCCAGGCCCTGAACTCAAGCTCCAGTACTGACATACACATACAAAATACATAAATAATTTAAAGTATAAAATCAATTAAATGGCCGGGCGCTGGTGGCTCACGCCTGTAATCCTAGCTACTCAGGAGGCTGAGATCTAAGGATCGCGGTTCAAAGCCAGCCCGGGCAGGAGAGACCATGAGGCTCCTATCTCCAATAAACCACCAGAAAACCGGAAGTGGCACTGTAGCTCAAGTGGTAGAGCGCTCTCCTTGAGCTGAAGAGCAGAGGGACAGCTCCCAGGCCCAGAGTTCAAGCCCCATGACCGACAAAAAAAAAAAAAAAAATTCAATTAAATGCTAACCATTTTAATTTAAGTAATATAACAAATAATGCTTTTTTTCTCAAATAGATATCTTGTCAAATAGAAATCAATGACAAGACTGGGTGCTGTGGCTCATGCCTACAATCCTAGATACTCAGGAGGCTGAGATCTGAGGATTGCAGTTTAAAGCCAGCCCAGGCAGGAAAGTCCATGAGACGCTTATCTCCAATTAAGACTGTGTGTCAATTGGATAACATTGTGCACTCATTCACACAATCTTATTCCAGAGCTGGGAATGTGGCTTCGAGTAGACTGCTTGCCTAGCGTGCATGAATCCCTGGGTTCAATTCCTCAGTACCACATAAACGGAAAAAGCAGGAAGTGACACTGTGGCTCATGTGGCAGAGTACTAGCCTTGAGCAAAAGAAGCTCAGGGACAGTGTCCAGGCCCTAAGTTCAAGAGAACTGGAACAGAACACTAGCTATAAACTTGCTACCTTAGTGATTGCCAGAGCCAATTTTATAAATTCAGAGTCTGAGAAAATGAAAAATCATCTTTGCTAAGATCAGCAGGTGTAACTCCTGTATAAAATCAGTTTTAGATCTGGAACAGAAGCCATGGCAGACAACTGATTTGCTGCTGACCTTACTGCTAATGCCACATGGTACCGACATGGTTCAGGCCCCTCCTTTGTACCAGAAGACACTGCCTGGCCTACACTATCTTGAAGCTGGCATTTCTTAGCTAATCTGACCACAGAGGCGGTTCTTGGTACAGCACCTGTTAACTAGTCAGGCATGGCAGGAAGCTCAAGTACAGGCCTCTAAGAATGGTCCCTGTTGGCTGCTCTCTGGTCTTGGGGTGCCGAGGAGTCTCGGTCCTGGTCTGAGCCCCACTGAGGCCAAGGCGTGACCCAGCCACAGGTCCTGAGTGTGAGAGGAGTTCTCTCTATCTTGTCCATCTGCAGAGAAGCTTTCTGAAGGGTTTCCTGGGAGGGCAGAGGAGAAGGGATCAGAGAGCACTTCTGATCAGTTGGGTGTTCCATTAGGAGTTCTCCTGGCCACTGTCTCCCCCACCTGGTCCAGTGGCTGGGTGGCTTCCAGGCTGTGGATGAGTCTGTTTTTCATTTTTTAATTTTTTGTTGGTCATGGGGATTGAACTCTGGGCCTGGGCGCTGTCCCTGAGCTCTTTCTTACTCAAGGCGAGAACTCTACTACTGTGAGCTACAGCTCCACTTCTGGTTTTCTGGTGGTTCATTGGAGATAAGAGTCTCATGGACTTTCCTGCTTGGGCTGGCTTTGAACTGTGATCCTCAGATTTCAGTCTCCTGAGTAGCTAGGATTATAGGTGTGAGCCTCTGGTACCCGGCTCTTATTTTTATTTTTTTCAGCAGTACTGAGGTTTGAACTCAGGATCTTGGCATTCACTCTGTTTGCTTGCTTGGCTGTTGCTCTACCACTTGAGGTATGCCTCCAGCCCTCTTTTTTGCTAGTTAATTGGAAATGGAGTTTTGAATACTTTTCTGTCTGGGTTGGCCTTGAACAGTGATCCTCAGATCTCAGCCTCCGGAGTAGCTAGGATTATAGGCATGAACCAATCAATACAGAACATAGTCAACATTTGAAACTAAGGATAAAAGATAGCAACAGAGAGTTCTCTTTCTCTCCTTTTCTTTCATCTGCCCAGTGTCTGTCATTTATAGGAATAGTGGCTCATTGACAGAATTTCTACACAGTCAAGTTCATCTGTGTAAAGCGTACAATTTGCCAGGTACTGGTGGCTTATGTCTGTAATCTTAGCTACTCAGAAGACTGAGATCCGAGAATTGCTGTTCAAAGTCAGCCCAGGCCAGAAAACTCCATGAGATTCTTACCTCCAAATACACATTAAAAAAAAAAATCAGAAGTGGGGGATGGAAAGGTGGCTCAGTGGTAGAGTGCTTGCCTTGCATGCATGAGGCCCTGGGTTCAATTCCTCAGCACCACATCAGCAGAAAAGGCCAGAAGTGGCGCTGTAGCTCAAGTGGTAGAGCTCTAGCCTTGAGATGAAGAGCTGAGGGACAGCGTCCAGGCCCAGAGTTCAGGCCCCACAACTGACCAAAAAACAAAACAAAAAAAAAACAAAAAAACGCCGGGCGCTGGTGGCTCACGCTTGTAATCCTAGCTACTCAGGAGGCTGAGATCTGAGGATCGCAGTTCAAAGCCAGCCCGGGCAGGAGAGACCGTGAGACTCCTATCTCCAATAAACCACCAGAAAACCGGAAGTGGCACTGTAGCTCAAGTGGTAGAGCGCTCGCCTTGAGCTGAAGAGCTGAGGGACAACGCCCAGGCCCAGAGTTCAAGCCCCATGACCGACCAAAAAAAAAAAAACAAAAAAAAAAACCAGAAGTGGGGCTGTGGTTCAAGTGATAGAGCACTAGCCTTGTTTGAAAAACACTAAGGGAGAGAGTTGAGGCCCTGAGTTCAAGCTCTACTACCAGAATACATATACACTAAATAAAAGATACAATTTCATGCTTCTAATATGCCTACAGAGTTCTGTGATAATCCAATCCATAATGTATTTTAGGACAGTGTAAATTACATTCCTGTAATTTATAGTGATCAAATAACTGTAATTTACTCAGTCTTTTTTGTGTGTGTGTGGGTCCTGGGCCTGAACTCTGGGCCTGGGCTCTGTCCCTCAGCTCTTCAGCTCAAGGCTAGTGCTCTACCACTTGAGCCACAGCGCCACTTCCGGCTTTTTTCTGCTTATGTGGTGCTGAGGAATCAAACCCAGGTCATGCATGCAAGGCAAGCCTTCTACCACTGAGCCACCTTCCCAGCCCCTACTCAGTCATTTCTTAACTGATGGACGTGTAGGTTACTTTGGCTGTCACAAACATGGCTGTAAGGAATCCTAACTTTTTTTGCTGCAGGAAAAATCCCAGCGTTTAGTCACTGAGCAATTGTGTTCCATGAAGGTCCTTTCTGATTATTTTCCTTACATAAAGGAGTGTCACTTTTCCTCGTGGCTTAGCCAATGGCCAGTTTTAAACTTGTAGATTTTCAACATTCTGTTAGGGGGAGATGACATGTCCTTTGAATTTGCCCCTCTATGAGATGCATGAGACTAACATCTTTAACGTGTATTTCCCTGTCTGTGAACTGCCTGTTAATGGCCTTTGCCCAGTTTTCTGTTCGATGGCTGTTTTGTTTTGTTTTCTCTTTCTTTTGCAAATGTTTCTGTTTTCCCTGTGTCTGGGGGGCTTCCCATAAGAAGTTGGTTGTCATCAAGGTTTTCATCTGTTTGCTTTATTTGTCTTGGGTGTTTGGTTTTATGTTTTTTTTTTTCCTATGGATTTCTAGGTTTTAGATCGAGAAGTCTTTCAGAAGTCCAAGCTTCTTGTAAAGAAACCACCACCTGGTGTGGGGGGGGGGGGGGCGGGGGGGGGGGTACAGGGTGGTGGTGGTTGCGGAGCTTGAAATCAGGGCCTAGGTGCTGTCTCCCAGTTTGTTTGTTTTTTTTTGCTTAAGGCTAGCACTCTACCACTTTGAGCCACAACTCCACTTCTGGTTTTTGATAGGTAATTGGAGATAAGAGCCTATCTCAGGGGGCTGGGAAGGGCTTGCCTTGCATGCTCGAGGCCTTGGGTTTAATTCCTCAGCACCACATCAACAGAAAAAGCAGGAAGTGGCAGTATGGCTCAAGTGGTAGAGAACGCTAGCCTTGAGCTGAAGAGCTGAGGGACAGTGCCCAGGCCCAGAGTTCAAGGTCCATGACTGACAAAAAAAAGAAGAGTTTCTCAGGGCCTTTTCTGCCTGAGCTGGCTTCAAACCACAATCTTCAGATCTCAGCTAGGATTACATGCATGAGGCACCTGCGCCCGGCTTGATGACCTTGATATTTTTTTCTTCTTACCTTGAAGTCTTTGTGGGACTTTTTTCATCATCTAATATAATCTCCAGGCTTACCTCCTGCTGAGAGGGTCACAGTTCTTCCCCACCCTGCCCCACCCCTGGGTCTCTCCTGGCTGTGTCTCCTCTCTGGCCCCATTCTATTCTCTAAGCATTACCCGGACCCTTTGCGGGTCTGGCATCCTGCTTAGTCACCCCACACTTGATTGACAGCACTCAGTGATCCAGCCTGGAAACTTTTCTGTTATGAATTGGAAAACATTGTCCCACATTTTTCGTCCGTTTTGTTTGTTTCTTTCTTTTTTCTTTCTTTCTTTCTGCCAGTGCTAGGGCTTGAACTCTGGGCCTAGGTGCTGTCTCTGAGTTTCTTTTGCTCAAGCCTAATGCTCTACCATTTGAGCCATAGTGCCATTTATGGCTTTTTTTTTTTGTCGGTCTACTGTGGGCCTGGGCACTGTCCCTCAGCTCTTCAGCTCAAGGCTAGCACTCTACCACTTGAGCTACAGTGTCATTTCCTTTTTTTTTTTTTTTTGGTGGTTTATTGGAAATAAGAGTTTCTCGGCTTTTCTTGCCTGGGCTGGCTTTGGACTGCAATCCTCAGATCTCAGCCTCCTGAGTAGCTAGGATTACAGGTGTGAGCCACTAGTGTCTGGCTTACTTCTGGCTTTTTCTGAGTAGTTTATAGAAGATAAGAGTCTCATGGACTTTCCTGCTTGGGCTAGCTTTGAACCACAATGCTCCAATGCCAGCCTCTTGAGTAGCTAGGATTCCAGGCATGAGCCACTAGTGCCAGGGCTGTTTTGGTTTTTAATAGTAAAAGCATAAGTAACAAAATATACCATCTTAATTGTTTTACACACACAATACAGGGACATTAAGCACATGCTCAATCACTACGGATTGACTATACCCAAACTTTTTCAGTGCTCCAACAAAAGTTGGCTTTTTGTTTTTGTTTTCCAGGATTTGAATGCAGGGCTTCATCATTATTCCACTTTCTTGCTTATGGCTGACACTTTTATCACTTGAGCTATGCTTTTAACTCAGCATTTTGCTGATTAATTGGACACAGTTTTGTAGACTTTTCTGCCTGGGATGGCTTCAAACTCTGAACCTCCAGGTATCAGCTTCCTGATTAACAGAAGTGTTGTATTCTCTATTCTTCCAGCCTACTAACTTTCCCTCCTCCCTGCCCTCCTTCCCTCCCTTCTTTCTTTTCTTTTGTTCTACTCTCTTTTGAGGCAGACTTTGCTGCGTAGCCAGGCTTACATCAAACTCACAATCCTCATGACTGGCTTATTCTACTTTCCATCTCCAGAGATTTGCCTATTCCAGTTACTTCATATAAGGGCATCATATGCTGTCAATCCTTCTGTGCCGGGCTTATTTCACAGTGACTCACCTGTGTGGAGCACATGTCAGTTCATTTATTCATTCATTTGAGTAATATTCCCTCTATACCCTTGCATACATTGAACACCTTGTTTATCTATCAGTCTTATGATGAGCTGGTCAGTGGTTGTTTCTGCCTTTGGGCTATTAGGTTGTGTTGCTGTGAATGCTGGTAGGCCTGTTTGTATCGCTGCTTACAGATCCCTCTAGGGGTAGAGTTGCTGGGTCACATGGTAGTCATGTGTTGAACTTTGGTAGGAGTTGCGCAATCATTTTCCCTAGCAGCTGTGTGCACACAACTTCAGGAGGATGCATGAAGAGTTCATGTTTCTCCACACCTCTCACATTTCTCTCATGACCCTCAATGTCTTCCCATGTGCTTATGTTGACCAAATCTATCTTATTTTTTGTGTGTATGAAGGTGTCAGAAGAGTGTTTTAAAAAGTTGTGTGTGTGTGTGTGTGTGTCCGCACGCATGCACGTGCTGTGCCTGGAACTCAGGGACAGGGCACCATCCCTGAACTTTCTCCTTCAAGGTTTATGCTCTGCCACTTGAGCCATAGCTTCACTTATGGCTTTTTTATGGTAGTTAATTGGAGATAAGAGTCTCACAGACTTTCCCACCTGGGCTGGCTTCCAACTGCCATCCTCAGCTTTCTGAGTAGCTAGGATTCCAGGCATGAGCCACCAACACCTGGCTGAACATATTTTCAATACCCTGAAAGTGGGTCATCTCTAGGGTGCGAATCACACTGCACAGGACCTGCCCAACAGGCAGAGTCACAGTCTGGAGTGAGGGAGGTTTACTAAATTATACCTGCTATCTAGGACATGGCTTTACCTGCCTGGGAAGACAAAGAAAAATCTGTTTGAATCCACTTTAGGTTATGAAACCTATCATTGATTCTTAGGTGGGTAGAGTATCAAAAAGCCTGACTTGTATAATTCTCTAACCTTTCTAGGCTTCTACTGGCTGAGTGGAAAGTTTAATTACTATGCTATCTCTCAGAAACTTTGTGATCTCTCTTCCACCATTTATTTATTTATTCATTCATTTATTTATTTAAGTGGTGGTCCTGGGGCTTGAACTCAAGGCGTAGACACTGTCCCTGAGCTTTTTTGCTCAAAGCTAGCCCTGTACCCCTTGAGCCACAGGTCCACTTCTGGCTTTGGTTTTGGATGTTAATTGGAGATAAGAATCGCATGGACTTTATTGCCTGGGTTGTCTTTGAATCACGATCCTCAGATCTCAGTATCCCAAGTAGCTAGGCTTACAGCTAAATTATAGCCGTTATCAGAGTGTTGGAGAGCCAGATAGTCTTCCCAAAGAAGCAGAGCGTAAACAGTGTTTCCCAAGGATGAGAAAGGATGAACCAACTGAAGGGCTTGAGCTTCGGGGGAGTAGAACATTTCATGCAGTGGAAAAATACTATGTGGAAAGAGCCTGTGGTTAGAAGCCTAACACAGAAGGAGGACAGAAAAGCAGGGCAAGCAAGGTACAGCAGGTGTGAGGGAGGAAACTTTACAGCAATCATTTTGCAGGAGGAGAAACTGAGGCTGGGAGAGGAGGATACCGTGCCTTCCTCAGGGAACACAGCCAGCTGGGTCAGAGGATGTCTCTGGGAATGAGGGTTGGAGAGCCTCTTGGGTTCCAATCTGCTGCCTGCTGCCCTCACATGCCCACCTCTCAGCTCTGCAGGGCCTGGGATTGGAGGCAGCTATGGGATCCTGCGCAAAAGAGCAGTACTGGAATCCCTTGCTGCATCGCTGCATCTCCTGCAAGCTGAATTGTGACCATCAGAACCTGAGCACCTGTGTGGCCTTCTGCAGTAAGTTCTGGGACTCAGCCAAGGAGCAGGAGGCCCACCACTCACCTCACTTTCCCCCAGATTCTCCTCTGGCCCCACAGTGGTGAAACAGGGGGTGGGGAGAACATGGAAAACGTAGCATTTCTTTACCCTTCCGTTTTTTCTGCTCCAGCCACACCGATTCATTTGTTTTCTTGAACATGCCACATTCTCTCCTACCTCAGGCCCTTTGCACATGCTGTCCCTTTGCCTGGAATGTATTTTCCTCATCCAGCTTCCCTCAGCTCCTCCCTACCTAACCTTCAAGTCTCAGCCCTCTGTCCAGCAGGAGTTAGGCCCTCCTTTGTATGTGATTAGTTTCTTTTGAAATGTTTTATTACAGAAATGATCAAACATACACAAACATGGAGATAGGATGGCACAACAAACCTCTGTGTGCCCATCATTAGCTTCAAAATTAAAAAAAAATCCTTATAATGCTGCCTTGTTATTTTCCAACTTTTTTTACATGTGTTTTTTGTTTGTTTGTTTTTGTTGGTTGTGGGGCTTGGACATGGTCCCTGTGCTCTTCAGCTCAAGGTGAGCGCTCTACTGCTTGAGCCACAGTGCCACTTTCAGTTTTCTTTCTTTTTTCTTTTTTTTGATCGGTCATGCGGCTTGAACTCTGTGCTTGGGCGCTGTCCCTCAGCTCTTCAGCTCAAAGAGAGCACTCTACCACTTGAGCCACAGCACCACTTCTGGTCTTCTAGTGCTTTTATTGGAGATAAGAGTCTCACGGACTTTCCTGACAGGCTGGCTTTGAACCATGATCCTCAGATCTCAGCCTCCTGAGTAGCTAGGATTATAGGCATGAGCCATCCACGCCTGGCTACATGTGGGTTTTAAAACAAATTTAAAACTGTGTGGGCTGGGAATGTGGCTTAGTGGTAGAGTACTTGCCTAGCATGCATGAAACCCTGGGTTCAATTCCTCAGTACCACATAAACAGAAAAAGCCAGAAGTGGCACTGTGGAAATGGCAGAGTGCTAGCGTTGAGCAACAGCAGCTCAGGGACAGTGCCCAGGCCCTGAGTTCAAGCCCTATGATTGACCAAAAAAAAAAAAAAAGATTCCATAGGCCAAAGAAGAAATAATAATGAAAAGTAAAAAAACAGATGTCAGGGGCTGGGAAGGTGACTCAGTGGTAGAGTGTTTGCCTTGCATGCATAAGGCCCTGGGTTCGATTCCTCAACACCACATAAGCAGAAAAAGCTGGAAGTAGTGCTGTGGCTTAAGTGGTAGAGTGCTAGCCTTGAGCTGAAGAGCTGAGGGACAGCACCAAGCCCAGAGTTCAGGCCCCACAACTGACAAAAAACAAAAACAGGAACAAAAATAAAACAAAAACAGATGTCAGCTGGTTGCCAGTGACTCATGCCTGTAATCCTAGCTATTCAGGAAGCTGAGATCTGAGGATCTTGGTTCGAAGCCAACCCAGGCAGAAAAGTCCTTGGGTCTCTAATTAACCAATCAAAAACTGGAAGTGGAACTGTGGCTCAAAGTGATAAAGTGCTGGCCTTGAGCAAAAAGAACTCAGGAACAAGCTGGGTGCCAGTGGCTCACACCTGTAATCCTAGCTACTCAGGAGGCCGAGATCTGAGGATTGTGGTTCAAAACCAGCCTGGGTAGGAAAGTCCATGAGACTCTTATCTCCAATAAACCACTCAGAAAACCAGAAGTGGTGCTATGGCTCAAGAGGTAGAGTGCTAGCCTTGAGCTGAAGAGCTGAGGGACAGTACCCAGGCCCAGAGTTCAAGCCCCATGACCAACAACCAAAACAATACAAAACTCAGGAACAGTGCCCAGGCCCTGAGTTCAAGCCTTACTACTGACAAAAAAAAAAAAAAAAAAAAAATATATATATATATATAAAACTCCAGGAAATGGAAACAAGGTTTTTTGGTTTTTTTTCTTTGTTGATCTTTTTCTGTTTTCATTTCCTTTTGTCTTGTTTGTTCATTTATCTGTCTCAGGGAGGCGGGGGGACAGAAATGGCAGGACAAAGGGTAAACAAATACAGCAATGATACACACTAGATACTATGTTGAAAATGAACTATACCCCTGGCTACAGTGGCTCACACCTGTAATCCTAACTACTAAGGAGGCTGAGATCTGAGGATTGCAGTTCAAAGCCAGCTCAGGCAGAAAAGTCCCCCGTGAGACTTTTATCTCCAAGTGGCACTATGGCTCAAGTGGTAGCATACTCGCCTTGAGCTGAAGAACTGAGGGCAGCACCGAGGCCCAGAGTTCAAGCCTCATGACCGACCACAAAGAAAGAAAGAAAATGAACTATATAACTTGTGGGTGAAGGAGGGGGGAAACTGGGAAAGAACAAAGGAAGGGTGACATTGTCCAAAAAGAAATGCACTCTTTACCTGACTTATGTAATTGCAACCCCTCTGTACATAATCCTTACAGTAACAAAAAATTAAACTAGATACATAAAAAATACTCTATATCAAAATGTGTACAACGCAGCTAGAATAGCACTTAGAGGACAATGCATAGCCTTCAATTTGTAGGTAGTAAAAGGACCTAGATTGTTCTGGAATTGTTTTTTGAGAATCAGACTATGATTTCACTTTTATCTACTTTGAGACCAGACCCAGAGTTTTTGCAGGACCTTGTCATCACTCATTTCTGTCTCCTAGAGTCTCTCAAGTGTCCCAAGGAGCCAGGCAAGTACTACTATGACCATCTCCTGAGAAGGTGTGTCAGCTGTGTCTCTACCTGTGGACAGCACCCTAAGCAATGCACATATTTCTGTGAGAACAAGCTGAGAAGCCAAACAAACCTCCCCCCAGAGCTCAGGAGACAGCAGACAGGAGAGATGGATACCAAAGCAGATAACTCAGGAAGGTACCAGGGATCGGAGCATGGAGTCTTGGAGGCAGGCACAGGTAAGTCACCCAAGGTGAGCTTAAGTTTTGGGGCTTGATCTCAGGGCTTGGGCACCATCCCTTGGCTTTTTGGCTCAAGGCTAATGCTCTACCACTTGAGCCACAGCTCCACTTCTTCCCTCCCCCTCCCCCACATCCCCTTTTAGTTAACTGGAGATAAGAGTCTCACAGACCGTTCTGCCTGGGCTGGCTTCTGCCCCTGTGAGGCATTTCTTTTACCATAGCCTATATGACAAATACAAAATCTATTTTGTAGTTTTAATTTGCATTTATCTTCTTATTCCAGGAGTTTTTTGTTTTTTGTATTTTTTCTTGAATTCTGGGCCTGGGCACTGTCCCTCAGCTCTTCAGCTCAAGGCTAGCGCTCTACCACTTGAGCCACAGCGCCACTTCTGGTTTTTCTGATGGATTATTGGAGATTAGAGTCTCATAGACTTTCCTGTCCAGGCTGACTTTGAACCGTGATCCTCAGATCTCAGCCTCCTGAGGAGCTAGGATTACAAGTGTGAGCCACTGGCGCCTGGCAGTCCAGGAGTTTTGGAAAGCATGAGTTATGGAAATGGGGTGCAGAGTGTAGCTTAGAAAATGAGCCTCCAGCTTTGCATGCCAGAAGCCCCAGCCCAAGGCCAAAGCCCTCCCCCTTGGCATTTCTCCTTGCCTTTGCTCTTTCAGTGTCTGGGAACGGGCACCCCAAGGCCCTATGGCAGAAGGATGTGAGACAGACTCGATGCTCACAGGTGATGAGGACCCTGGTCAAGTCCATTCTGGATGCCAGGCACTATCTGTACAGCATTTTTCTTAATCTTTCTTCTGCAACGGCAGGTTTCCACCCCTGAGTTCGCCTGGTCCCCACCTACATCCCTTGTTCTCTCTCTGGCCCTGCTTTCCAAGTATAAGCTCACCCAGGAAGGCCTCTCCTCCTTGGAAGAGGCCCAGGGTTCAGAAGTGATGGAGGGAACATCCATCCATCTATCCATCACCCATCCATCATCCATCCATCCATCCCCCATCCATCCACCCATCCATAATTCATCATCCATCCATCCATCCATCCATCCATCCATCCATCCATCCATCCTTCTCTAGGACAGTTCCAGTTTCCCATTCTAGCATGTGGAAGGCAAAGAGGGCCAGCTTGAGATGGTCTCTATGACTTGGAGGAAGATGCTATCAGTATAGAGCAGAGGAGTTAGTTTCCTTTAGGATCTACTGGACTGGCTACTTGTAGGGTGGATTGTGTGGGCCTAAGGAGGGAAATGAGCATGGCAGGGGCTTGGGGATCCCTGGGGTGGGGAGGATGGAATGGCTGCTGATCTACGGAGAGGAACTTGAAGACTGTGTGTACCTCTCCTAATCCCAGTCTCGCCTCGCTCGCAGGGGCCCTGGGTCCCAAGGGGAGCGCTGAGCAGCTGGTCCTGGTCTACAGCACGCTGGGGCTCTGCCTCTGCGCGGTCCTCTGCTGCTTCCTCGTGGCCATGGTTGCCTGCGTCCTCAAGAGGAACGGGGAGCCGCTCTCCAGCCAGCGCCCCGCGGGGCCTCGGAAGCCCACGCGCAGGTCCGCCCACGGTGAGTGCTGGAAACTGAGTCCTTCTCTTCTTCCTGCTCGGTGACAAGCGAGGGCCAGCGTGCCCCCCCCCCCCCCCCGTCACTGGCGTCTACACTGTCAGCCTTTGGCAGGAGAGCCTGGGGCGTGTGGACCATCCTGGAAAAATCAGGTTGAAGAGTGTGGGTGTGGGTGGCGCTTGGGCTCCCCGGGGAGCAGGGTCCCTAGGACGTCACCTTGGGGTGGGATGGATGGTCAGTTTCGGGCCCCGGCGAGCGGGGTGGCCGTGGGGTCGTGGGTCAGGGGGACCTCTGCGGTCCTGCGGGCTTGGGGAGGGTGATCGGTGCTCCTGGGGTCCCCCCCCCCCCCCCCCCCCCGCCTCCCACACACACGGCCTCCCTGGTTCTCCTCCTCCCCCCGCCTGCCCCGTGCAGATCCCGCCATGGAGGCCGGTGGAGTCCCGGGCGCGATGCCGGGGCCCGTGGAGACCTGCAGCTTGTGCTTCCCGGAGCGCGGGGCGCCCACCCAGGAGAGCGCGGGCACGCCCGGGACCCCAGGCCCGGAGGGCACCGGCAGGTCGGCGCCGGGTGTGGGCGCGGCCGCCCCGCCTTGCGTGCGCGCCCCCGACGGCGGCGGCGGCGGCGGCGGCGTGGCGGTGATGATGCACGCGCCTGCCCAGGCCGCGCGCCCGGGCGTGTGCTGGTGACAGCATGGGCGGACCCAGAGCAGAGAGGCGTGAACGGGACCAGCCCCGGGAGCCTGGAAGAGAGCCGCCGCGAAGGACGCGGAGGAAGATGGAGTTGGGGTCGTGGACAAGGAGGCGGGGGGGGGGGGGGGGGGGGGGGCAGGGCAGGCCCAGGGTGAGCTGGAGGTCGCCATGGCCTAAAACATGCAATAAAGGCACCCGTGCCCGCCGGTCCCAGCGCCCAGAGTCCCTTCTCCCACCCGGCCGCTGCAGTGGAAATCATCTCCCCGGAGAGCTTTGGACCTGCTTTTGTGGGGCGCTCGCTGGACCTTTGCTTCTCCATTTAAAAAGGAGCGAGGAGGAGATGGAAAGGCTGAAGGGTGGGGCGGGGGAGAGGAGGTGGCCCAGAACCGGGGGAAGTAGAGGCTGGAGCTGTCCCATCTTCTCAGTAACAAACATAAATGTCCCTCTGTGGGTTCTTGGGGAGGGCGTGTCACACGTGTGTCCTCTCCTGGAGTGGGAGGCCAGAGCCGAGGTAGCAGGTGTCTCTGCAAGAACGGCAGCTCTTCCCCGACTCCAGCCTCAGGGAGAGTAGTTGCATCTGGATCTGTTTTTAGTAGCATTTAATCCTTAGGATACATAACTCTGTGTGTGTGTGTGTGTGTATGTAGGATACATAGGGTGTATGTGTGTGTGTGTAGGATACATAGGGTGTACGTGTGTAGGATACATAGGGTGTGTGTGTGTGTGTGTCCTGGGGCTTGAACTCAGGGACTGGGCACTGTCCCTGAGCTTCTTCTGCTCAAGACTTAGCACTCTACCACTTGAGCCACAGCACCACTTCTGGTTTTCTGGTGGTTAACTGGAGATAAGTCTTACAGACTTTCTTGCCAGGGCTGGCTTTGAACCTTGATTCTCAGATTGCAGCCTCCTGAGTAGCTAGGATTATAGGCATGAGCCACTGGTGCCCAGCTAAACCAGCTTTCTTTAAAACTCACCTGGTCTGGGGTATTATGCTACTAGCAACAGAAAATGGACTCAAGTGCCTTGTTTGCAGCTATCGGTAGTTCCACACTATCATGCTGACTGCATTTCATCAAGGCTAGAAGAGTTAAGTTGCTCGCCCAAAGGTACATATAACCAAGATTGGAACTCAGGCAGTCTGGCTTTGTATTTGGGACTCTAACACTGGACCACACTATAGAGGAGGCTAAAATTTTAATGTATTAGAAGCTGGAAATTTCCATTTGAACATCTGGTGACTGATACGGATGACAGAGCAGGAGAAACCACAGGAGCATGGGATGGACAGCAGGGCAGATTCTGGCTGAAGATCAGGCCAGAGTCACCCATAGAGTCCTGATGAGCCTCAGGCTGAGACAGATCAGAGACAGAGGTAAACACAATGTCCTTCCTGCAGGCTGCTGGCGCTCTGCTAGACCACTCACCCCTCTGGTGCTGGTTCTCCACCTTTGAGCAGGGTTCATCTTATGTGGAGTCTCTACTGAACAGCAGCACACACTTGGGTACTGAGGCCTTCATTCCCAGTTGTGGTGTTGGGTGGCCCTCCCCTGAGCTGTTTTCTACATAGCATTCACATAAACTGGTATCTATGAGCTCAAAATCCTTGCTTTGCTCACTCCCTAGGATCTAGAACAATACCTTCAAAGAGTTGAGTAAATGAATTCAGGACTCAAGATTGTTATGATTCCTAGTTTTTCAGAACTCATTTTAGAATATTCTACCTCTGATCCTCTCTTCCGCAAATTGAATATGTAGCCCAAAGTTCATATGCTGGAAATTTGGTATAGAGGGGTATGGCCTATCAGGGACAGGGTCAGCAGGACTCAACCCATCCTCTGACTCGTGAGTTAATGTGTTAGCACAAGTGGCTTCATAAAAACCTGTTGTCAGCTGGGCACTGGTGGGTCACGCCTGTAATCCTGGCTACTCCAAAGGTTGAGATCTGAGGATTGAGGTTTTAAACTAGCCCAGGCAGGAAAGCCTGTGAGACTCTTTATCTAGTTAACTACTAAAAAAGCTGTAAGTGAAGCTGTGGATGAAGTAGTAGAGCACTAGTCTTGAGCACAAAATTTCAAGGGCAGAGCCCAGGCACCGAGTTCAAGCCCCAGGACTGGCACAAAACAAATAAGGAAAAAAAAAAAAACAACACCCCCAGACTGTCATGTATGCCTGCTCTGCCTTAGCCATACAGGTAGACAGCTTCTACCATGTTGTGACCTGAAAGACCCCTCACCAAGTGCCAGTGCCATGTGCTGAGTCTTTGCTGCCTCCAGAACTGTTAGGAATTTCCACTGTGGTATTCAGCTACATTGACTAAGACACTCTCCTAGCCACTGGCACTGGCATTTGCATCTTCTAGAGGCTTGTTAGTCTAAGTAATACATTAACCCAGTGGTCCACGGATGGATTAACCAGCCTAAGGGCAGAGTCCTGACAGGTCGGTTGGTGCGGACACCAGCACACCGCTCATCACACACTGCTAACTGGCTGAACCCAAGGAAGCAGGGACATTCCACCCAGGGAGTCCTCCAAACTGACCCCAGACTGAGCAGGCTGGGATTCCAAAGACAGCAGCACTAAGCACAAGGGTGGCCTCTCAGCCTCAGCTGTGGGGCTTATGAATGGGTAGGTTATTGCACATCCTCCAATAAGCAGCAATGAAAGTTCTAGCTAGGTATGTCCACAGTCAAGTTATACAAGTTAAGGTATCTGGCTTAGGACCAGGGTGTTTCCTTTAGTGTCTTTATGGCTATGTTGCCAAGGGACTTTCAAGGCCCCAAGCCTGGACTTGGGGGAGAAAACCCTGTCCATTTGGCCAAGACAACCCTGCGACCTCATCTGAACAGTTCTCTAGAAGTTGGCCAGAGGAGTTAGGTATGTCTTTCAGTCAGGACACAGAGGGAAAGAGGCAGAGTAAATGGAACCCCAACCCACTTGGTGAAGGTCAGTGATGAAGGCTCATCCTCAGCTGGGACACTGACCCACATCCACACATGGGGGGCTGCCACCTGACAAGACCTGGGTGGGAACAGATGTATCAACATGGACAGAGACAGATGTCTGTACTGATTCCCTTTAGTCCCCCAGAACAGAATCCCCACTCACATTCAGGTAGGCATGACACTATCCCCCACGGGTGTGGCCAGCTTCTTTCTTCAGCCCCTGGACTTGATCAGCGGGCCTGTGAACAAAGCGGCCATTAGCTAGGAATGAAGACTGAACACGCTGAACCTCAAACCCTTGCTTTTACCAAGGCCCTTCAAACTGGTACTAACAAATGCCCACTAGATCCCTAGGTGGATATCACTTCCCAGGAGCACAAGCCTGCCATCTGCCAGCAGAATGACTGTGCAGGGACCTATCCCATAAGGGGGGATGGGTTGCTTATATTGGAAGAAAGCCATGCCCTCTAGGCATGGACAGGCTTGCCCCACTGGCCAGTACCAGCACTGCCTCAGCATCCCATCAATACAGAATTCCCCATACAGAGCTGAAAATGAGCAGCAGGTGGGATCCAGACCCTGGGGAGATGCTCTTGCCTCATCACTGAGCAGTGGCTAGGCTTATAGAAAACCTATGGTGAAGCCGTGGAGTTGTCTTAGCAGGGACTATCATGCCTGGATGGGAAACTGTTACACTGTGCTGACGGTCCACAGCCAGCATGTAGTATACATCTGAGCACTGAGGTGTGACATGCAGGACTGGCTACTGTAAATCAGTTATGGCCTTGGTTTATCCCACACAGCCTAGGCATTTACATCTGCTGCTCTCATCCCTTAGGAGTTTGCCCAATCCTGCTCTGCACAGATTCCTGCACTTGAAGTTCACCAGGCAACTTGTGCACAGTGAAGCCTGAAGGCCTGAATCCTCGATGTTAAACGGCAGTGGATCCCTCAGGTGAGGAGCAAGTGGAGTCTAGGGTTGGCATGGCCCACAGCTTCTCCCTTTGGCTCTTAGTAATGAGAACTGGCCAGCTTCAGAATAAAATGTAGCTTTATTATGACATAGGAAAGGCTACAAGCTATCAAGGAGAGAGTCAAATAGTCCCTCAAAATGACAGGGAAAGGCAGATGTAAACATCTTAGTAATAAAGTCTCCAACCACAGCACAATCATTGGAATTTTTTCTTACAACTTTTGTTTGCAGAGTTATATTAAACCAAACAATCACTTGAATTGTCAAAAGAATAGCAATTTTACACAAGGAAGAGCATACACACCAAGCCAAGATACAAGAGCACTCAGGTATACATGGTGCAGACAAGAGGAGTTCCAGGGCCCATCCCAGTGCCTGGCAGGACCCAGGCCAATGCCCAGAGCAAGGAGATCCAGGACAGCGAAGCTAGGCTGCTCTGTCCCTCAGGCCATCCCAAGCTTCCTGTACTTTACCTCCCTCAGGACCCACCTGAAGACAGCCAGTCCACATGTCTACTGTGTCATTCTGACATGAGAGCCCACACCCCCAAAACAGATTCTTTTCAATATTCTGGTACTAATGTGTACTGGTCTTTTTTTTTTTTTGGGGGGGGGGGAGCACAATACTTTACTCAATGAGAACCTCTGTAGCAAGATGCACTTTGTGACATCTGAAGTCCTATACAGGGTCATTCCCAGAGAACCATTTTCCTGACTTAACAGCCAGATGGGGAGTTAAAAAAGATCCCCAAAGCTATTATGTTGTTCTTCACAACGGAAAGACAACATGGAATGCAATGCTGAGGGTCCTGGCAGAGAACAAGGCAAAGCAGGCACATGGTACCCTTGGAGTTGTGGCCTTGCCACAGCAAATGTGGAGCCAAGTGCTTCGAGCACCAAAGCCACAGTGAAGGAGGGGAATTAATTTGGGTATGTGAGCTTAAAATAACACATACAAAAGACAAACGTCTTTCTTCCTCTCCTCGCTACTTTTAATGTTCTCAGAATGGCTGATACCCCTGAACACAGGCGGAGACAGGAGGGCAGGAACAGGGAGCAGGCTGGTTGGCACATCCACCTGTATCCCCTCTGCATCTGGACACCTAGGGCACAAGGGGGCAGACCTTCAGAAGGGCTCCCAGACCAGATTCCTGCAGTCCGCCCAGTCGAGTCTCCTTTCTGATAGTTTTGTTCCCAAATAAAAGAACATCTCAGCTAGGGTGTGGCTCAAACAAGAGAGTACCTGTCTGGCAAGCATGAGGCCTCCAAGAAAAGAACCACACCAAGAACCCCAAGTCTCTTCCAAAAGATTTTCATTCCAGTCACAAACACACACAGAGATCATATGAGGCCATACCTGAAAATCTGGGCCCCTTCATATTTCTCCAGTAATGCTCACTTTAAAACATGTTTTAGCTTTGTTCTTTAAATTCAGAAGTGTTTAAAAACAGTACTATAGAAGGCTTTTGCCATCCCTGACAGCCCCATAGCATGACCACTGTTCCCTACGTTCTGGTGTTTTCTATACCAACTGAGCTACTGAGTTCCTGCCATTACTACTCTATCACAACATAACTACCTATTGAGCTAGGTCAGTTTTTGTGTGGTCTGCCTGCTTTCATGTAGACTGTCAGCTAAGAAAATTCATCTTATTTTCATATAGATTTTTTTAAATCAAAATGTCTCGACATGTGAAAATTATACATAATTCAAACTCCAAAGTCCATGAAGAACTCTATTGCCTTTTTTTTTTGGGGGGGGGGGGGATCAGTCATGGGTCATGAACTCAAGGCCTGGGCACTGTCCCTGAGCACTTTTGCTCAAGGCTAGTGCTCTACCACTTTAAGCCACAGCACCATTTCTGGTTTTCTTGTGGTTAACTAGAGATTAAGAGTATCACAGACTTTTCTGCCTGGTCTGGCTTTGAACCATGATCATTAGATTTCAGCCTCCTGAGTAGCTAGGATTATAGGCATGAGCTACCAGTGCCTGGCTATGAAGAACTATTGGGACACAGCCACCGTTCATGTTATCTATGCAGAGACCACACAGCCCATAAAACCTAAAATGTTCACTATCTGGCTTTTAGGAGAAATGTTTGCCAAACCTTCAATAGCTGGTTCTTGTTTCCCCAGAACAAAGACACTGCAGCCCACTGCAGACAGGGTTGCCAGGGCCAGCACAGCTGGAGATATCATAGTTCACAAACCAGATTAAGACAATGCTTCTAACCCCAAATCCTTGGGTAGTAATTTCTGAGAAATGGACAAACAATCTAAGTCTGGGTTTGACTAGATAGAAACATGCAAGATATATTACAAATAATTTCCTTGACCAGTTCTGCCAATGAGCTCAATTATTTTGTTCTGGCTGCAACTAAAATAATCAAAGGTACAGTGAGGCACATGATTAAGGTGACACAATGTAAGTCCCCACTGGGGTCCACTCAGTTTCAAATCCCACCACAGCAACCAGGCAACCAAGGACAGGGAATAGAACCAAAGAACAGGAAGGAAAAAGGAAGGAAGAAACCACTGGAGAATGGACTAAGATAAACAGAGGCCTTCCTGAGCTCCTGCCTGGTTCTCCTCTTGCTACCTGCTGTTAAACCACGGACAGAGGGAGGCAGGGCAGAGGGGGAGGAAGCAACAAAACAGCACCAATTAAAAAGCAAGACGCACTCTCAGAACAAAGGAGGAACGATCTAGATTTCAGTATAAACTCGATAATCATCCACTTTACTACTATTACGTGTATGAAATTCACCATTGTGGAAAAGAGAAAAGGAGAGATAAGAAAATGCCTATTTCTAGAAAACTAAGAGAACATCTGTGCCGATGCTTCCACATGCAGGTAATGCTATGTCATCTGCTGAACACACGTGCTTTGAGCCTCTCCATGGCCTCAGATCTTTGGGCTCCAGAAAAATGGACGCTTGGAGTCCACACTCCATGCATTAAGTACCACCCCAGACTGAGAGACAAGAAAGCGCTCACAGCTCCTGACTTTGCACATCCACCTGTGTTTGCTTTATAGCTTTAATGGACCCATAATTTCCGTTTGGCAGGGGCCTTTTCAAACCGCATGCATGGGACTACTGAATGAAGCACCAGGCAGAGGCTGCTCTGCACTTAGGATAACATCTCCATCTCCCACACGCTTTGGAGACAAGAGATACTACCACAGAGCTCCTCAACTCCTTTACAACCCAGGGCACACAGCAGTTCTGCTCCACAGTGTGTCCACCCCGACACCACAACTCCAGTGTACAGAGGAGCCATGCACGTGGCATGTCTGAACAGGAGGGGTGTCGAGGTGTCATGTGGTCAGGGGAAGAGGGGGTCATCTTGGGAGGTTTGTCAACTTATCATCCTCCTTTTTCTAACCAGCAGAGGTGGCTACTCGTACTCCAGGAACTGTTTGTGGTAGAACAGCAGGTACCTGAGGAGGCAGAGGGGGAAACAAGTTTTAATTCTAATTTCTAAAATGTTAAAAGCAAGCCAAGGCCAGATGAGAATGCATGCACAGGCCCATTGCTCATCTGACTTCTCATAGTCCCTGAAGAGTCCCATGCTGGCTGGAAGACTATCTTACCTCAATCTCCACAGCACAACCACCCCCTAACCCATCTGTCAGGGAAGAACTAAAGCCTCACAGACCTCTTGTGGCACTCTCTACCATCACCTGCCCTGTCCATGACAGCTACTGTCCCAGAGAGAGCCTACCTTCTCCTCATTGCCCACCCTGTTACACACAAACTCCCCTCTGAAATGTTGCCAGGGGCTTCTGATGCTCGGAGCACCATGCGGACATCCTCTAAGAGACTAGATGACTGGTTTCCCTGGTCTCTAGGGCTGGGAATCCTGCTGAAGGAATGATGAGAGGGGCCCCTTGGTTGCATAGGCTTCTGTGCCATGAACAAAAGCAGTAAATAACCAATGTGCCCAGTACAAAGAAGGTTAAGACAATGAGGCATCAAATACTTTCTGAGCTAAAGGAGGCACTACAGAGCCTCTGGATCAGAACATTCTCTCCATGACCTCAAGGCCACATCCTAGCCCAGAAGAGCCCTTGTCACTTCATCAACTAAAGGTGAACTCCCTGAGGGGGGTGGAGCTGCCACTGCAGGGACCCTCCAGCCCCACGCAATGGACGCACCCTTCGCTGTCCAGCACATCCTTGATGCTGGCCTTGGTGATGATGGCGTCGTCACATTTGAACCATTGGTCTTTGTGCTGTCGGATGAAGCTGGTGTAGTGGCCACTCTCCAAGGTCCCTTGATGGTTAACTACAGCAAACAAGGAATACCTGGTGCAGAGGGTGAGGAGAGAATGGCTGCTGATGGTGCTGTGTGGGAAACCACATAGTACAGCAGAAAGTGACCCACAAACTTGGCCTAAGACCCCAGAGGAGCTATCACAGAGTAGAAGAGCCAGTTCTGCATAACTCAGCTCTCATCCAGGTCCAGCTAATTCCTGGAACTCTACTTAGTGGACATGGTGGCAGTAACCGTCCACCTTCCTGTGATATCCATAGCAAGAGCCATCAACAGCAGGCCCAACAGTACCAGGAGGAACATGCTTGTCAGAGAGGCCAAGAGGTTGTGCTTCCAGGTAGCACAGAGGTTTGGAGAGGCAGGTCCCAAGAGGGCATCTTTCAGAGGAAGAAGCATCCATTCTCAACACAGTAACCACATACACCCCCCTGCCCATGTATCCCAAGCAGGCAGACTTCTCTCACAGGTCCAGGAAGCCTGCTCATCCCCGCAATCCCCCAAGCACCACGTACTTGTTATCGTTGTTGAGACTGTCTGTGGGCTGCTGGTACTGCCCGTTCATTCTGCTCTCTTTGCTGTAACAAAAACCCAGGAAAACTCAGGATGGCTGAATGTCACTATTCACCACAGACTCAAGGTTCTAATGATAATGTGTATTCACTGAGGACCCGCAGTGGGTACTGCAAGAGAGTGGAGTTGACATGCTTCCCAGCTCAATAACTAGGCAGAAGCTGTCTCATGCTGTGAGGACACAGGTTCAGGCTGTGAGGCAAACCACATAACAGCACAGTAGCCACCTGGCCCTTCTATTAAGGTCCACTCCTGAGTGTGACCCAAGGGCCATTTGCTGCTCCAAGAGCTTCCAAGCAGGTTGTGTGAAAGGAGTTTCAGTTGTACTCTGACTGCCAAGGCAGAGTTAAGTTAAATCCATTCGAGCACAAGGATCACCACTGTTCCTGTTGCAACTAGACAATTCCCAGCATTGTCTAATGTGTCTACCCACATTATGGTTAGTAGAAGACATTAAGACCTGAGACCCTGACATTATCAACAGAGCTGTTAGCTCCCTGGACATGTGAACGAATGGTTGGGTTGCCCATTTCCCAGGGGCAGGTTGAAAACAGATTTGAAATTCTGATTGTCATGTTCTATTTGGGACAGTGACCTGAGAGCCACAGAGGTAAGGCTACCACAAGGAAGATACCAATAACTAATCATAGTCAATCTGTGTGATATGATGCCCTGGGGTTGCATTGCGGCTTCTGAATAGGTAATGTCCACTTTGTGGACCCTTCCCCCAGGCCCTGAATTTTTGTTTTTGTTCTTTTCACTCAAGCCTAGTACTTTACCACTTTAATTTTCTGGTAATTAATTGGAGATAAGAATCTCATAAACTGGGGCTGGGAAGGTGGCTTAGTGGTAGAGTGCTTGCCTTGCATGCCTGAGGCCCTGGGTTCGATTCCTCAGCACCACATAAACAAAAAGAAAAAAAGTCGGAAGTGGAACTGTGGCTCAAGTCGTAGAGTGCTAGCCTTGAGCTGAGAGCTGAGGGACAGCGCCCAGGCCCAGTGTTCAGGCCCCACGACCGGACCCAAAAAAACAAACAAAAAAAACAAAAACAAAAAAAAGAATCTCATAAACTTTCCTGCCCAGATTGGCTTCAAATAGTGGACCTCAGATCTCAGCCTCCTGAGTAACCATGGGCACCTAGCTTTGATCAGTGTCTTTATGAGGGAGAAGCTGAGGGAGATAAGACCCAGACTCAAGGGGAGGCCCTGAGACCACAGGGCCAAGACAAAGAACCTGCTTGAACCCTTCTAAAGTAGACCTATTTCATGTATCGGGACCCTAGAACTGTAAGAAAAGCATTCTTTCTGAATGGGGTTTGCTGATCAGGTATTTTACAACTTCAGCCACACTCCAGCCTTTTGTGCTCTAGTTATTTTTTAGATAGGGCATCCTATTTGTGCCTGGGGCTGACCTCAGGCAAATACCCTACCATTATCTCCCACATAGCTAGGATGGCAGGCATACATGCCTTGATCTTATTGAGGTAGAGACTTGATAACCTTTTGGGGGAGGATCAAGGAAAGGTCTTTAGTTTTCCTGGTTGCTCCCAGACAAGATTTTGTGGGATCTTAGGCCTTTAAATTTGTGGATTACAAGGCAAAGGAAACAAATATACTAGTAAGCATCATGGGTTTTTTGAGGTTTTTGGGATATTTTGGTTTGGGTAGGTTTTCTTTCTTTCCTTTTTTTTTTTTTCCTCCATGTCCTGAGGCTTGAACTCAGGGCCTGGGCACTGTCCCTGAGCTTCTTTTGCTCAAGGCTAGTGCTCTACCATTTGAGCTACAGCTCTACTTCTGGCTTTTTTGGTAATTTTATTGGAGATAAGAGTTTCATGGACTTTCCTGCCTGGGCTGGCTTTGAACCACAACTGAGGGTTAAATTTTTAAATGGTCTTTCCTGGATTTCAAATC